TAGGTATTATTTAATTGCAGTTGCTAGGCGTAGGGTATTTTTGTTTTGTTCACTCATAGAATCATATTTAAATGAGGGTGGCACATATTGAATTGTGTGTATTTTAGTTTTATACTGTTAGGTACAGATATGATTTTATTATTGTTTTGTTAAAAATTATATGTGGCTAAAGAAGTATGTCAAAGTGTCAAATTGACAAGGGGTGGTCTGTGGTAGTTATATAATCTGGTGTCAATTTGAGGATTAAGTGTATAAGGTAGATTCATGTAGAAAGTCACAAATCAGAGTTTTACAAATACATGAGCAAAAGATGACAATATAAAGTTATAAAAGTGCTAAATGGAAAGATAAAATAAGTTTTTACAATTTGGGGAATGGAGGAAGAGCTTCCCAAGCAAGACATAAAACCTAGAATCTATAAAGAAAGACTAACAGAGTCAACTCCATAACAATGAATAACTTCTATATAGTGAAAAATTCCATTAGTTAAGTAAAATAAAAAGTAACAGACTGGGACAAACATTTATAACATAGGTAATGAATTAATATTAATATTATTATGATTATAATTTATTAAGAAGCTTCTGTAAATCAGAGCAAAAAGATTGCCCAATAAAAATCGGGAAATGATCTGACCAAGTAATTCACAAGACAGAAATCTACATGGATGCTTGATATACTTATGAATAGTGTGCAGTATTTTGTTAGTGTGGTGCACACTGGGATATACCTTCCAGACCCCCTTCAGGAATGAAGGATGTACTTCCTCTGCTTCTGGGAGTGCTGCTCAAAGATAGCTCTCAGCTGTCAGCCCTCTTTGGGGACTGCCTCAGTTGAAGAAAATGATCGTGCCCAACATCATACCTGTCTCTAGGTGCAGCTCACGTTTAATAACTGCTGTACCTGGAAGTATCAAGTTCAGCCCTCTCCCTCCAATTTAGGGCAGACCCGAGGGTCCATTTCAGCCTTAAAGTGTCTCATAGCTGAGGCCTTCACAGTTCAGTATCTCCCTTTCACCAACCCTACTTCCTCCTCCTTCCTGTCACAGGTATTGCTATCAAGAGCTTTTCCTAATCTTGCTAATCTGTCTCAGAGTCTACTTAATGTCTATTAGAACTAAAACAAATGAAAGTGGGAATGAGAAAAAAACTTTTTTTCCTATTAATCATATGTCAAAATTAAAAAAGACTGAAAACATACAGTGTGGGTATGGTGAAACACACTTAATAGTATGTAAGTAACAGTGTAAACCCGTAGCAAGGCAAAACTATTTTGAATATTAAAGGTAAACACATAAGCATATCCTTTGACCCAGCTTTTCCATTTCAGGAAATTACTCTATAAAAATAAGAACATTCATTGCAGTTTTTATATGTAACACAGAGGAAAATAAGTCAAGAGATGGTATGTCCATTCTATAGCTACCACACAGACACTAAAATAAATTAAGATATTAATTTAAAAAGTGAGTTTATAGAACCACAGGTATACAATCTATTTAGGTAAGGAAGAATACTCTACTCGTTTGTGTGTACAACTGCATAGCAAAGGCCCAGAAAGATTCCCAAGACGTCGTCGTTTAAGTGATTGACTAGGGAGGAGAGTAAAGTGATGGAAGCCGAAAGTGGACTTCACGTTTTAATCTCCATAGAAACCTATATTGTGGTATCACTTGGCTGGAAGAAAGAACCAACTCCAGGTATTTTGGTATTTCCTTCCCGTGTCTCATGGATTTCTCCTCCTCTTTGAGACCGAAATCATTGTGTGCATGAGTCTTGTGAGCTAGTGGTGCCCTGACTCATCACCCTCCCTCCCTCACTCCCCCCTGAGAACAGAGGAGAGTCATAGCTCATTTAGGAATTCTTTCTCCCTGATTTGAAGTGGACAGTTCTTGTCAATCAAGGAACATCAAGGTTGCTGAGGAGCAACCATAAAGCAGATGTCAAAGTTAGAATGTTGAAACCTGATGGCTATTAACACTTGTCACTGATGGCTGCTGGATGGTTTGGGTTTCCAATGGAGGAGGCTGGGGCTGTTTCAGGGGGCCCCCTGGGAGCATGTCCACTTGCTGGAGCTCCAGGTCCGACAGATCTGGTTTATGTCCTACCTGAACCACGATTCCATTCAGCTCCCCTTCCAACATCTTCACTTGACACTCTAGTAACTCAATGTTGCTCAGGGAAGTCTGGTATTTATCCTTGTAGAGGTTTAAGCTCCTTTCTAGGGAGGCAATCTTGTCCCCGGCCAAGGTGAGTTGTTCGTGTGCTATCCGTAGCTTCTTCCCTGTGTTCTCTTCATCGTGATTTCCCATTTCCTCCTCATAGAGAATCACCTGTTGGTGAAGGAATAAAACCACACTTTGCCCATGAGAGCATCTAATAAGGGAAGGAGATGGCTATAAGATACTATACAGAGGAGTCTTATGACTCAACTAGAAACCCAGGTCAACAGACTAGGTCCAGCACAGATCGAAAAGCTACATTACTTCAGAATGTTAATAATTAGAAGCAAAAGGAGAGTATTGTTTAGATCAGCAGTTCTCAACCTGTGGGTCACGACCCATTTTGGGGGGGGGGTGTGGCCCGATTCACAACAGTAGCAAAATGACAATGATGAAGTAGCAATGAAAATAATTTTATGGTTGGGGGGTCAGAACAACACGAGGAACTGTATTAAAGGGTCGCGGCATTAGGAAGGTTGAGAACCACTGGTTTAGATAGTAAAGTCCTAAAAGTAAACTCTCTTTCCTGGTCTGCTTGGCATATGGTAGGAATTCAATAAGTATTTGTTTAATAAGAATGAATTTATAAGCTTCATAGTTGTTTTTTTTTTGCTTTATAGTTTTAAAGGACTTACAAAGCTAGTATTGTTTCTTTCCTCAGTATCTTTTAGAGATCTAATTTAGAAAATATCGAGCATCTCATGCACATAGGCCCATGTCAGCAAGAATCCTAAGAGATAATAGTGGCTCCCTGAGACTATGGCTCTTAGTCACCGTTCAGGTCTGGAAATGAACTCATCCTCATGGGTCAGTTTTCAGTCACACAATAGATAGGTGTACAAGGGAAACAACACTAGCGAGATATGCACACCTCCGAATAATCAAACATTCAAGATCGAAAGAGCAGCATTTACCCAAGGACAAGGAAGAGGGGTGGAAAAAGGAAAGAGAGTAGAAGTGGAATAAGTGACCTTACATTATGGGATTGCAATCAATGACACGAAACAAAATGTGTGTGAACTCTTGCATGGAAAACTGATCTGTTCTATAAACTTCCACCCAATTTCCAATACAAAGTTAAAAAGAGAGAGAATTAAAAAAAAAATAATGGGGGCAGTGACCAGAATTCCTCTGGGAATTTCATGATCTTTAATTTGGTTCCTTTTCTTTCTAATCAATTTATTAGTTAGCCAAATGGCCAAATATTTTGGAATATTATTTAGTTGAAATTTATAGTACAATCTAATAAAATGTCTAACTTTTAAGTATGAGCAATGTGCTTGGGGGATACATAGAATTTCCCATCTTTTAAATCATGGGGAGAGAAAATTTAAAATTAGCAACAAATGTATAAAGGTGATTGTGATAAGGTGTGGTGACTTGAATTAGTTACCAAAGAAGCCTTTTGGGTTCAAATAGTGCAGTGTAGAATCCTTCTAGAACAAGGTCTGTTGGTTTACGCTAATGTGTTCTGCCCACCTTTTCAGACTCTTCTTAGGAAAGAGTCATTGAGGCTGAGATGCTTATTAGATAAGAAGGGGAAAAGAGTATTATGTGGTTTAACACTTCAAACTGCCAGCGACACACGTCTATTCTTGGCACTCACAACTCATTCAGATGGCATCTCTGCATCTTTGCCTGGGTTCCTTCGGTCTCAGAACCCTCAGTCAGAGGGGTAAGGAGTGCAGGCAGAGATGCTGGCAAGTTCCTATGCCCAGGAACAGCTTCCACGATGACTCAGTAAAGCTGGCTGAGATCACGCTGAGGCATGTTCCACATCATCTCCCAGAGTTTCTCAGAGAATCTGAACCTCAATGGTCCACTGGCTTAATAGACTTTTTGCCCTTCTCTGTCTGACTTCCCAATCCCTCACTAGGCTTCCTTAGATCACCTCCCAAATTAACTACTTTCATTTAAATCTTTGTCTTTAGGTCTATTTCGGGGAGAACCTAGATTTAAGACAGAATTTTGATGCTTCTGTGTAGCTAATAGTTCATGCTGGGAGAATTTACAGAATGCCTAGAATCATTTTCCAATGCTTTCCTCCAATCCGCTGAAGTTTTCCCAGGTTGGGATCTGTGACAGTGACTCTTACTTGCCAAATCTCATATCAATTCTTCCTTACCACCTTACTAGACTTTACTTGGGAGGCAATACACCTAATGAAAACACCTCATTTCTGAGACTCCCTACTAACTAGCTGTGGCCATGTGGCTAACTTATGGGCATCGACAGGTAAGTGCAGGTGTTGCCTGGTGCTTCCGGAAAGTGTCTTTAGGAGGAGGATTGTGTTTTTATTCCATACCTGCCCCTTCATCCTGCTTAGTTGGTACAAGGATGTGATAGTTGGAGTGCCAGCAATACTTTAGTGACCTAGAGAATGGATGTTTTGAGCTGATCAAAGCTTTTAACCAAAGGTAGGCATCTGGGTACCAAATGATACATGCAACCACCGGTGACTGTACTGCATGACTTACCTCTAAACTTCTTTTATATGGAATATAAATCATCATTATCTTATTTATGCCACTATTACTTTGGAGTTTTCTGTTAGATATAGCTCAAAAGAATCCCAGTGCATTTGTGGTCACGTTACCAAGCCTGGACTTGCTTTAAATTAAACCAGCCATATTTAACACAGGCCTGCCCTAACTTTGTTAACCCACAGGCCTTGCCTCACCCGTCTCTGTTCCTGCTCTTAGTCACTTAAAGCAAATCTTCATGTCACTAGGCCACTGCGGTTCCTTAAAAAGTTCTCATAAAACCCCTGGAGTTAGTCCTTAAGCAATAGCACTGTCCAGGACACTCCTTGGAATTTTATCTTTAACGCTGAAAGAAGATGTGAGGGGGACTCTACAGAAGCATTTGCCTGCCCGAGTACACAGGACTCGTGGCTTTATTGCTTGTGGCGTCATCCCTGTCTACCTGGTGTTCGTTCTGTAGCCTTTGGCCTTTGGGATTTACTTGGCGTTCTAAAGGGACGTTACCTCTTGTTTAACAGATACTACCATGGACCATGAAGAGAAACGAATATGCAGAATACAATTAAGGTAGGTCTGTATGTTCTAAACTTCCAGTTTGGAAAAATGACTGATCTGATACTTTTGAGGATCAACTCAAATTAACTGTCTAGTTATCAACCGTGCAGCTGCTAGTTATTTATATATTATCAAAAATTAGTTTTCTAAGAATGGTTGATTTAGTGGACTTTATTCCTCTTTAAAAATTTGTTTTTATCGGGGGCTCATACAACTCATCACAATCCATACATCCATTCATTGTGTCAAGCACATTTGTACATTTGTTTCCATCATCATTTTCAAAACATTTGCTTTCTACTTGAGCCCTTGGTATCAGTTCCTCATTTTTCCTCTCCCTTCCCCACCCCCTCCCTCATGAACCCTTGATAATTTATAGATTATTATTATTTTTTCATGTCTTACACTGACCAATGTCTCCCTTCACCCACTTTTCTGTTGTCCATCTCCCTGGGAGAGGGTTATATGTAGATCATTGTGATCGGTTACCTCTTTCTCCCCCCACCATCCCCTTACCCTCCTGGTATTGATACTCTCAGGGGTTTATGTGTCCTGGACTCCCTGTGTTTCCAGCTCTTTCTGTACCCATGTACATGCTCTGGTCTAGCTGGATTTGTAAGGTAAAACTGGGGTCATAATAGCGGGTTGGGGGAGGAAGCATTAAAGAACTAGAGGAGAGTTGTATGTCTCATCGGTGCTATACAGCACCCTGACTGGCTTCCCTCCTCCCCGACACCCTTCTGTAAGGGGATGTCCATTTACTTACATATGGGCTTTGGGTCCCCACTCCATACTCCCCCTCATTCACAATGATATGATTTTTTTGTTCTGGTCTTTGATGCCTGATACTTGATCCTATCGACACCTCGTGATCACACAGACTGGTGTGCTTCTTCCATGTGGGTTTTGTTGCTTCTCAGCTAGATGGCCACTTATTTATCTTCAACCCTTTAAGACCCCAGATGCTATATCTTTTGATAGCCAGGCACCATCAGCTTTCTTTACTGCATTTGCTTATGCACCCGCTTTGTCTTCAGGGATCGTGTTGGTGACATTATTCCTCTTTTTTAACCTTTAGAGACCTTGAGTCTTTTGCGTTTAAGTTGCAATGGTAATAGAAAAGATGGACACACACACACAAACACGCACACACACCATGCATATTAATACTGGGGCTCTCATTCAAGTATATCTGTCTGGTCTCCTTCTGGTCAGCTTTAAAAAATAAAAAACGAAATACAGAAAGTTTATAAAACCTGCTCAATATTTTGAGATCCTCCCCTCTTTACATCCTGTTTGCTTTCTAATAGGGTTGGTCTGATTTCTATAGGCACATGCACATGTAGGACATTTCTGTAGCTGTTCTAGCTATACCTCATCTTCTTTCAGTTTGCAGTGATGATGAAGTTGAACCAGGTCACAAGTCTCTTTCTCTAGGATAGATTGATATTGCAGGAGGGAACAATAGGAAGTCTGCAACTCCTCCGTGCGAAACTCCAGTTCTTGCTGAAGGGCTAGCAATTTTTTCTTCAGTTGTTGGAGTTGTCTCAGATGACACTGCTTGCTGGACCCAAACTCCGTCTCTGACTCCTCATGTGCTAATATTTGCTTTTTATTCTGCAACACAAATTGAGAATACAGAAAGGGTTTTATATTGTCACAAAGCATGAATTCAATCTTTGAGATTTTTCATTAGTTTGAGCATTCACACATTCATCTTTCTATACTTTTATCTTTCCATCTGTAGGCCTTTTTAAAAGAAATATTTAGTGAATTTACTCCAATGAAAGACACTTAAATGATACAGAACTAAAAATATTAGAAATCCATATACAATAAAAAGTGAACATAAATTAGCTAACTCCAACATTTCCAGTTAAGCATTCATACACACACATATTCATTTTTTGTTTTTTTATTATAGGTATAACACATACATACATGCCATGATAATGCTGACAAAAAGAAAATCAGAGATACTAAAAATATTATCAAGTTTTAAAAATGATGTGAAGTAAGTTTCCACAACATTCTACATGAATGTAAACAGGTGATTTAATTCTATGATTTTAACACGTCAGAAGCATGGTTGGTTTCCTTTTTGAAAAAACAGATCTTGGTATTTTAACACATTGGCTTATTAATAATTAAGGCATTTTGGATACACAGTAGTATCTCAGTGTGAACAAGAACAATTTAATATTGATTATTTGCTAGGATGTTTTAAACTTTGTTTTTTCAACATAAGAAAATAGCTGCACACATTTAAGTGTATTCTTATAAAACACGATCTTAAGAAAATTCATGATGATTGGTCTTTGTGGTTCCTAGTATTAAGTCCTTTGTTACTTTTCCACATAGTATAAGTTATACTATGCAATATGCAGGAGTGCATTAAGATCCAGTAGTTCTTAAACATATAAATTCCAAACACAGCAATGACCAACAATCTTCATAGTGCACATTCACCTCATTGAAGTTGAAGCTGCTCCTTTGGGATAGTTTCCCACTTCAATGTGAAGTAGATTGTTAGGATTTCATTGCATGACTTTTTAAAAGAAAAAATGTTTTTTATTTCTTCCATAGTTCAAAGTTTTCAGAAGAGACTTTTTTCTGGAAATCATATAGTCCTGGGATGTTCTGAACCACATATTCTTTAGCAGCAGAAACTTCTCAATGCAATTGTAATAAATAAGCATCTACATCCTTAGCTATATTACCAGTGTATCCTGGAACCAAAGTCAGATGGTTTTCCTGTTCCCATAGCCCACTTCACTGTTGTTTTAAAATCTGAATATTTCCATCATTTTTAATTTCTGTTTTGGATGACAATTCTGACCACCACCTTTTTATAACTGCTTGAAGCCAGTTTAAACCAAATATTACCTACTCTTCAAATTTGCTCATAAGTAGTGACTTTACTAGAGGTCACAAGTCTACACAGCAGCCGAGTAAGATGTATTGTTTTTCTTCCTGCAAAGTATTGGTGAGCTCAGGAAGGCAGTCCACCACAACCCCGAGATCTTCTATCCTCAGGAAAAAAGCCACTATCGTTTGATGATGGGCCTTCTGTCTAGTTATGTAAGCAGCCAACTATTTTTGGGAGATTTCCTAACCTCCTTCATGTTCTTATTAGTGAAATTAGAGTTCCTCTTTCTGGGAATATCAATGGAATGATCCTCAGTATTATTACAAAAGTTCCGTTTTTTAACATTGTGGGTTTCAGATGCCATAATCTCTGAAATAATCTCATAATCTCATGG